GAAATGTCTTAAACACGACATGGAGTGCTAAGAATACAACGAATTAAGGATTTTTCAAATAAAAGTCAAAATTAGAACTAGTCGAGGCCGGAAGGTCAATAAGTAAACGTGGGAAGGTTAGCAAGTAAATCGTTACTAAATCATTATATACAAAACATTATATACTTCACGTGTTATCATGCCATCATGTAATAAGAATAAACGGATCTTAAGTTAATCAATCAGTGATAACGACCTAGAAGGGTCAAAACTGTGCCTTACACAATTTATATCGTTTAAACTAGTCTAACCTGACCTAGTTAGGGTTTTGGAACTGAAAATAAATTAATAAATTGAAACTTGAAATATTTCCTCTTCTTTAATTTTTTTATTCATTTTATGAAACCTAATCTGCAATTCCTGGATGATTTTCACAACATAATTTCGTACCTATTTTTGTTTGTTTTTAATACCCTACACTCCTTTATGGACTTCTTTTCGGCATATTAATTTCAGTAGTTAAGCCTCAAAACAAGTATTTTCCTCTAATACTCGAGTATTGAGGAAAAGCCTTCAACATATAAACTTTTATCTAAGAATGTTACACAAAACAGATTCGTATGTGTACAAAATTACACGAATATTAATAGAAAAATTATATGTAGCAAAACAGATAAAAGAAAAATATTAGTTTCACACCTTACGCTTTTTTTTATCGTAAGCTATATTAACTAATAAATAAATAATTGTTAATTCACTACATTAATCCTTACTGTACAAACATCAGTTTGGTTATTGTATGCTATTTAAACAATACTTAAATCAAGCACATTTACTTAATTGGTCTTTTCAGTTTGAAAAAACAAGCTTCTTCGAAAGTTTAGGGTTAAGAGAATGGATGTAGATCTTTGATCTCTAAACGCGTCATGGTCACTGTAAAATGCGTCATTGTGATAATCAATCATCATAAACAACAAACTTTCTCGGGGAATGTAAGCAGCTGAAGCTGAGGGTCACATATTTATGCTCTTAGTTTGACTTTTATCGTTCCATTATGCTTTTTTCAGATAATATAGAACGCTTAACAAAACCCTATATTATGAGCACTGATGGATTTTTCTTTGAGCCTAGTCTTTGATTTATGTCAGTTAAAGCATTAAGCAGATGACAGTGGAATAATAAATGAAGCCACTTTTTTACTTACATACATTAACGAATCGATAGACTTTAAATTAGATGACGATCTTCTAACCTGCCTCATTCCTTTAAGTTCGGGATAATTAGAATACTTAGCTGTAAGTGCTATTTCGCTATTCTTCTTTTGCAACCTTAGCACTTTCTTAAACATCATAACATAATCTGACCTTTATGGCAGAACTCTTGGGCAATAAGTTGATGAATCTTATGAAACATTCAATGAAAATTATAAAGCGTTCTTTCTCATTCTCTTTAAACAGTCTGAGGAACCTGCTAAAATAATTAAACCTAAAACGATACAATAATACCTTCAGTGTATTCAAACGTGAACTTGTTGGACTCTATGATATACAGTGGGTGTAAAATGTTATGTAAAATTACTTATTTAATTATATCCGATGAATCTTATATCATAAGATTCATCTGACATTTCCCATTCTTGTTGCAAAGAATTTTCAATGTCCAATTTGTCTACAGGATTCATTAAAACTCGAGATAAAGACATCCATATTTCCTTGTCTGGAAACAAATCTGCTAAGTTGTAGAAAAACTGGTTTCGAGCAAAATTTTATAATTGAGTCAAATTATTTATTGTTATATTTTTTAATTTCATATCTAAGCTACAATATCGTCAAGTCTAAAAGACTTTTTCCAAACATGTTTGCCCCTAGAACGTTGTTTGAGCAATACTTTTATTGTGTTATCATATTCTAAGCCCAAATAGTCCCCGGTGACCTAAATATTTAATAATGAATAGTACGTTTACTCAGTTTCTAATAATATAAATAGTTATTTTCGTGCATTGTCGATCTAAGATTTTTTGAAGTCTAAGTCTGATTTCCTACATTTTTTTTTCCATTTTCGATACAAAATTCACAATTATTTTAATTTTTAATATTTCGTTCCAAGTTACACGAGTTATTTTTTCAACAAGTTTCTTGTTGATTTAACCATCAAGTTTCAAAGTACTTAATTTTGATAACTGGAAGCCTATCTAATTTTTGAAGGTTCAGGAAGTGTTTCATGCGTTGATTCCAAGTGTTTTTCAGGATATAACATGTTATTGGTTCCTTTTTACATAAATAAATTAGGTGAAGACGATTCAGTCACTGTATTTCGCAGTAACAAATGATTTCATGTCAGTATTTAGCGATTTTTATAGTTACACTCGTACTGAGCCGGAGGTTAAAGTGCTCAACTCGCAATAAGCGGGTCACGGAATCGAAACACGTTGCCGAACATACTCGCTCTTTTAGTCGTGAAAGCGTTATAATGTGACGGTCAATCCCACTCTTCGCTGTTAAAAGAGTAGTCCAAGTGATGAAGATTAGTTGTCTTCTCTCAAGTCTATCACTTCAAAATAAGAGACAACTAGCGCAGATAGCTCTCGAACAGCTTTGTGCGAAATTAAACAAACAACCATTTATCTTACAAATTGTTGACATGTGAATTTTTCAGTTTTCTGCTGCATTAGATATTTATGCGATGATATTTTCTACAATAGTGTCACCTGCTTTGTTGTTTTACTGCTTTACATATTTATGTGCTGATATTTTCTACAATAGCGTCACCTGCTTTGTTGTTTTACTGCATTAGATATTTATGTGCTGATATTTTCTACAATAGCGTCACCTGCTTTGTTGTTTTACTGCATTAGATAGTTATGTGATGATATTTTCTACAATAGCGTCACCTGCTTTGTTGTTTTACAATTTTCGTAAGGAATGTTTACATGGCGCTGTGTCGGCATGTTGTTTACATATTTTTGGTATTAAGTTACTAATGTTCATTGCAGATTTATGTTACGACAATTCAACCAAAGCACCACAAGATTATTTTGAAATTACACGATTAGTCTGGCATGTTTGAATTCAATTTGCGTAAACGGATTTCAAATTGTACTAGTGCACGCCAAACGACTGTTATTAGGATAAATGTTTCGCCTGTTTGGTGTCAGTCACAATGTCCCTGGTAGCATCAAATCGATTAACCTAAAAGGCAATCTAAGAATGGAAATAGAAATTAATACGACCTTTAGTTCTAGAATAATTATAAAGGACAGAAAATCTAATGTTGGATGTCATCTTTCAATTCGACAATAGCTCCAATGTGGACATTCAGGTGTAAAAAAGTAACAAAACGTACTTCACAGAAACGAAAGTATTAGTAAATTCAAATTCAGAAATCGATATTTTTTATAATTTTTCTTTATTTCCTTTAAAAATATCCAACTCAGCAGTTTTACCCCAATCTGTATTAAGTTAAGGTAATATCACACAACTTAGACCATTCGTAAAAGGAATTCAGTCTCTATAAGTTAGAGTTTTGATAAAGTTAAGTTAATATACCTCAACTTAGACCATTCGTAAAAGGAGTACAGTCTCTATAAGTTAGAGTTTTGATTAAGTTAAGGTAATATCACACAACTTAGACCATTCGTAAAAGGAGTTCAGTCTCTATAAGTTAGAGTTTTGATAAAGTTAAGTTAATATACCTCAACTTAGACCATTCGTAAAAGGAGTACAGTCTCTATAAGTTAGAGTTTTGATTAAGTTAAGGTAATATCACACAACTTAGACCATTCTTAAAAGGAGTTTAGTCTATATAAGTTAGAGTTTTGATTAAGTTAAGGTAATATCACTCAACTTAGACCATTCTTAAAAGGAGTTCAGTCTATATAAGTTAGAGTTTTGATTAAGTTAAGGTAATATTACTCAACTTAGACTATTGGTAAAAGGAGTTCACAACAAAAAGTCTTTACGGTTTCTTAATTTAGACAGAAAATGTTTAACTTGCACATGTGATAGTTATGGAGTAGCACTAAAAGAAGTAAGCAATTGGTAATTCTGGAATTAAGGAACTAAATTAATTTTATGTAAACTTACACATAAATTTGTAATTTTTAGATGCATCATTTTAATGTTTTAAATAAATTAAGACCCACTAGAGACCACTATAGACTATTAGTTAATCTTAAGTTATATATTTCCTTTTTGCCAAACTGTTTTCAGTAGCATGAACCCATAGTCAGCACTCTGGCGTCTTTGCTAGTCAGTCATCTTGTGATATTGTATTTGATGGAAAGAGCCGACAGCCAAATAACAATATTACACAAGACAGTTCTGTTTGTTAACCTTCATTGTAAGGATCTGAAGAGGTGTACTATTGTACAGTTATTTATCCCTGATTTATATATGAATTTACTAGTTTTGAAAGTATTATTTTAATGTTCTTAATTAGATTAAGGCTCACTATATTCATATTTTTTGCTAATCTTAAGTTATACATTCCCTTTTTACCTTTGGAAAATCAAGCTTCAAGTTACAACTTTTAAACATTAATATTTTCCTTTGTTTTTTTACAGCACTAATCTATAGAAACTTTACAAGATATCCTTAAAGTGGTAGTCACACACAAGGATGTGCATATCGCGAGAGCGTAAATCTATTTTATACATATCAACGAACTGAAAGTTTATATGAAAACTAATTCACACATCCACATCAAGTACTCAACGCAGATTTCAATCCATTACAGTTGCTTTTCAAGAAACTGTAAACAAAATGAAGTGAGATATTTTATCCTTTTAGTCTACGAAATGAAGTTTAATGAACAGAAACCATGATGCTTGCTGCTTCGAAATTTCAGTGGAACAAAACTAACTTAAGTATAGTTTTAACATTCATTACTTGCAGACGAGAATAAGACACACTAGCCCTAATACTTTACTGCTTTGATTTAAATATTATGTTTCATATTCCTTGTAAATCTAATAATAGCGTGTGTATTTTACTGTTTCAAAGTAAAAATAGTTAAAATCCTACCCTGTGGAGAAAGTTTCCTCGCACCGAAGGTTCAGCCACTCGTTACTAGGAGGTTTGGAATAACAAGTCCTCTTTACCCAGCAGTCCGTAGTGTGCTCCTGTCGATTAGAAGACAGCCAATCAGAGACGTGAATATACAATCGCAGCGCCACTCGCAGACCTTCTTCTTTTAATTAATAAATTATACTAATTGAATTGATTTCCAATACTTGATGAATATACAATCAACGTTAAATAAAGAAAAAACGTGTATATATATATAATACACATGATTCAAGATAAACAGTTAATAACGTTTGCCAACCGTAGGAAAAACCCTTTAAAGGTATAGTTCTTATCACGTTTACATAAACGTAAATCATGGTAGTTACCATAATAATAATAAGATATTATGAAGCAAATCTTGTACTTAAAAAACATAGTGGTGAAATTATGCATTTATCAAAAGATACTAGAGAGATCATTATTATGCAATATCCTCTATCAAAAGATACTAGAGAGATCATTATTATACAATATCCTCTATCAAAAGATACTAGAGAGATCATTATTATGCATTATCCTCCATCAAAAGATACTAGAGAGATCATTATTATACAATATCCTCTATCAAAAGATACCAGAGAGATCATTATTATACAATATCCTCCATCAAAAGATACTAGAGAGATCATTATTATACAATATCCTCTATCAAAAGATACTAGAGAGATCATTATTATACAATATCCTCTATCAAAAGATACTAGAGAGATCATTATTATGCAATATCCTCTATCAAAATAAACTAGAAAGATCATTATTATACAATATCCTCTATCAAAAGATACTAGAGAGATCATTATTATGCAATATCCTCTATCAAAAGATACTAGAGAGATAATTATTATACAATATCCTCTATCAAAAGATACTAGAGAGATCATTATTATGCAATATCCTCCATCAAAAGATACTAGAGAGATCATTATTATGCAGTATCCTCCATCAAAAGAGCTGTTAATATTCTACCATAACGTTTATAGATAATAATAAATAGTCTTAATTATGAGTAACAGACAAATTACAGAAAGCTTCTGTACCCTCATATTAGGGCACCCCATGGATAGGTTATTCCTTTAAAAATGAAAGCCGACAAACTTCATTAAAAAAGAAACTTAGTTCGACGGACCAAAATATTTCGTGGTGGAATCTTTCCCTGCAAGGTAGTTTATGTGAACGTGCATAAAACACACAAATATAAAGAACTATTATTATCTCATTACGAAGACTAATGAAATGTTATGTTCAAGATTTTCTGAACCGTTAGCAAAGCCAGATACCAACTAACATGCTTACAGATAGGCTTGCAACCAATGGCTAGTTTCTTCAAATGTAACACAAACGATGGCGTTAAGAGAGATAACACACGAAACGATAACACATTATTGTTATTATGTTTTCTAAAGAAAGTAACGTTTGAAGCAAGGGATTTAATATTCACGTGGTTTGGTCATTGCAAGTAAGAAAAGCACATATTTTGTATATATGTGAGAGAGGCATTACACTCTCTGTTTACTATAATATTCATGTATTACACTCTGTGTTTATTATAATATTCATGTATTACACTGTCTGTTTACTATAATATTCATGTATTACACTCTGTGTTTATTATAATATTCATGTATTACACTCTGTGTTTATTATAATACTCATGTATTACACTGTCTGTTTACTATAATATTCATGTGTTACACTCTCTGTTTACTTTAATATTCATGTGTTACACTCTCTGTTTACTATAATATTCATGTGGCATATTTACTTGTTTTTATCTTAATTACAGCGATTAGTTATCGCTTTCCTTCATTTGTATTGAACATAACAAGTTTTATATTATTCTCCTTGTTCAGTAACTTTAGACTTTCTTATCTGTCTTTTTTTCTGCAGGTGGTTAGGGCGCTTGACTCGCAATCTGAGGGTCAGCCGTGGGGGCGTTATAATGTGACGGTCAATTCCAATATTCGTTGGTACAATAGTAGCCCATGAGTTGGCGGTGGGTGGTGATGATTAGATGTCCGTCTTTCACTGCTAAATTAGAGACAGATAGCGTAGATAGCCCTCGTGTAGCTTTGCGCGAAATTCAAAAACAAACAACAAACCTCTGCAGTGTCCATATTAATTCACCCTCTCTGGTTAAAAAGAACCTTATGAATCGTAAGACATAAGTAACATATATTTACTGTAGGCTTATGACGAATGGATAATGTTACTGACTATTAATCCAGGTTACGAAGTTAGCACACAGGATCACCCAGAAAAGTTGTAATATTTTCAAAACGAGACCCAAACCTCGAGCGCTTTCGAATAGTTGACTATTCTTCTTTATTCACTCTTTATTCTCCTGAGGATGAATAGTCAACTATTCGAAAGCGCTTGAGGTTTGGGTCTCGTTTTAAAAATGTTACTGACTATTAATTAATATTTTCATATTGTTTAGTGGGCATACTATTTATATATCGCTTGTGATGAGCAGATCTACAAATATCACAAGCTAAGGTTGGCTAGAACAGGAGCCCAATCTTCTTCTTTGTTTTGACCTTGTACATAGTTGCTTTAAAAGAATGGTACTAGAAGTAAATGATGAACGGTTAATGATGTGGCGAGTTCAATAATAAGCCGAGCCTTATGTTCCTTTTTTTCACCAAATATACAGTTTTAATAACAAAAATACTACAACATCATAATTAAAGATTGATTTTTTTAGTACTTATTGATCTTTAACGATGTTCTTTTTCAATGGCTAAAAATGTATATTTCTTCCATCGTACTCTTTACTGGTTGTGGTAGGCTGTCTATTATTGGTTCGAGTTCCTTTACTTACTTGTAGTAGTTTATATCCATATAGCATGCACCATTAACATTCAGCTTACCTAGGAGTTAAATATATCATTATTGAAACCTCAGCTACATTTTAAACTAAATATTTCAGAGGTATAAAAACATTCCAATACATTCCTTTTTAGTGTTCTTCTCTTGACGATGAGGGATTCATGAGAATAACATTTTAATGGATGTAAATCCTTAAATTCTTAACAATAGATCAATTGATGAACTAGGTTTTTATTTACGAAGTAGCAATAATTCTTTGATAAGTAGGCTTCACTCATCACTGCCTTTAGACAGGATCTTAATCTTAGATGAGCGTATTACTATTCCACAATCTCGAGAAGTGTAGTCTTTTATACTACATTCGTTGTCACTTAACAAATTTGCATGATCTTGTTTAGCCATCTGGTGGTAGACCCAATACACCTGTAGGTATACAGACTATTTAAACCCACAAACCACTTTCGATGTTATTAGAGACTATGTTCTGCCCTTAAATTTGAAGAAATTTTACATTCTAGATTCTGGTCTAAAAATTACACTTAACGTATCTGAGGATACGTTATATAAAAAACAACATGAAAAGCTGTTTTTCCACTAACATCTGTCAGTTTAGGGTAATAACTTGGTATTAGTTTTTTCAGCAAGTTATAGATGGGTTGTTTCACGTTTCTAACTACTTCTAAATGTTACCGCATGATGGTATCAACAAAATTCACTGGCAAATAATTTTTTTAGAAAGTTTATTATGCTAATAAGTTCCAGAGAAGTCTACGTATCAAAGAAATATTGCTACTTCTTAAATTAAAGCCTGAGCTAAACGGAACATTGTTATTTCTTAAATTAAGGCCTGAACTTAGCGGAATATTGCTACTTCTCAAATTAAGAACTGAACTAAACAGAGTATTGCTACTTCTTAAATTATAGCCTGAGCTAAACGGAACATTGTTATATCTTAAATTAAGACCTGAACTTAGCGGAATATTGCTACTTCTCAAATTAAGGCCTGAACTAAACGGAATATTGCTACTTCTTAAATTATAGTCTGAGCTAAACAGAATATTGCTACTTCTTAAATTAACGCCTGAACTAAACGGAACTTGTTCATCAACTGAGTTATTGTTAAAAATATAATCGTGTATCTTTTACTATTAGCTAAATCTCTAAATAGAAATAGGCTCAACAAGTTGCAGATTCTTATTAAAGAATACAAATGCTAAACTATTCGCCATCTTGCTCGTTTGTTTTTTAGGATTAAATACATCAATCTGAGAGAGTTCTACGCTATTACAACATACAAAAATAATTACACTCTTTGGAAGCTTGAAGGAAATATCATTTATACAACAATAAGCAGTAAAAATCTAATAACCCGAAATGTCACAATTCATCATTTATAACCATAAGCCACGGATCTCGAGTTGAAAGCTCTATACTAGCTCAGCAGTTATTGAGAAGATGGGATATTGCTGCTAGTAAAGCTATAATACACAATGCACACATGACTACTCAAGACATTTAAGGTCTTCATAAAAACAAACAGAGATTTAAACTAGATAACAAAACAAAACGCACTCACGCGCGCTTGTATATATATTATAAAACATAATAATCTATAAACTTTAATCAATTTTTATTTTTTACCGGTTTCGAATTTTCAGAGACTCTTCAGAGCAAAAACCATAAAATATATGAGAGCCAGATCAACACGTATGAAAAACAGACTTGTTCAGTCTCAACCTGTATAAAATAAAATAGTTTGTACGTTTTCTTTTCAGAGTCTCCTCAAACTTTAATCAAGTAATAGAGATTAGTGTTGCACACACACACATATATATATATACGTTGTTTGTTAATATGCCCCCCCCCCCCTCGGTAAAACAACAACAACTTACAACGGCATTTATATTACTTTTACAACTATTATTTCACTCCCGGAAATAACGAAACAGAACGCCGTTGTTCCACTACCTAGAAGTTTTATTGGTCCCTGAAGCGTTACTATTTGTAATTAGAGGCTATCTAATCTCTGCTTTTCATATAAGCGTTGTTGAAAGTTTAGTTAAAGCTCAGACAGTACCTTATCTCCAGTGGTGCTAAGTATTCGAGGAAATGGCAGTGAAACAACGAAGAAAGTTATTTACAAGATTACACTAATTATCTTAATTAAAAACCGTATCTATCTATCTGTATAAAGA